ACAAATGAAAACCAAACAAACCCCACTTGCTAACAGTTAAGATTAAAATGATAAACTTTTTCCCAAACTGCTAATTAAAATTTTTTGTGAAAGTAGTCATCAGAATGCCTTCAATGTCCTATATCATCAATGGATAAAATTATAAGACTTATCTAAACACAGTCCCAAATATGCAGACAATACCGTCAGCACAATGAACACATGAGTACATGAGGCAGTTGCTCACAAGGTAATTTTCCTTGTCCCAAAGTGTGAAGAGAAGACTTGATACCATCATAGTAGTCTAAGGGAGTGAAATACAGAGTTGAAGACATTAATTTAAACTCCCACGAAATGTTCTGCTGGCTAGCCTAGGTTCCATCTTTCTTACTTCTTAGGAGTAAAGACATCTGATTCAAAAGCAGAGTTATAAAAATAAACAGTAAAGGTAAATGATGCATTTAATCAAACTACAGTTAGAAAGTCTTTATACTATCCTTGTAACACAGAACAGAAACAATTTTCAGTATTTTAAAAGAGCCAACGTAGTTCACAAAACTATTTCTTTGATTTGAAAGGATTACAGTAATTTCTTCAGGAGAAACTGAGCATTCTGTATATGAGAAGAGTTTGAATAAAAGCTCCTGACATAAAATGCTAAGTGTTACATCACAAAATCTGGTGAAAGAATACCCCAAGTAATCTATTATTTACCTCAGCAACTTCAGTGATAAGCACCCCGACTCCAGTGTAGTAAAACGGCAAGAGAATTACAGGAAGGAGAACAAGAGCTAAAATACCCAGGAGTGCAAGGACAAAATTATGCCAGATACCTGAAAAGAGGGAAAAAAAGGAGTAAGCTCAACCAGGGGCAGGGATGATATCATTCCAGGTAGTTTTACTTCATAATACTTAGGCATTCTGATAAATTAGTAAAGTAACCAGAAGAAGCTGTGAGGCAGATAGATCTACTTATTAGTACAGAAGACAGATGTTCAGTTAGAGGTTTCTTCCATTTCAGATATTAAAATCTAAAATGAGCATGTTAATACAATACTAGGAAGACCACATGCTAATATGATTTAACACTATTAGAATCTATATTCGATTACATATATACCTCTATTATATATGTAAAGGTGTGTGTGTATATAATGAATAGAGTATCTTCTACTTACTACTCTTTTCTCAAAAAATGTATACATATTAATTTAAACATAGTTGTGAAAAGAAAAACATACTTGTGATCTTTGAAAGGAACTTCAGAGCTATCAAATAAAAGTTATGATGAAGTAAAAAACATTCTTGCTGAACTGGGGTATGTGTCTTACATCAAGACTATAACTATCTCTGCCATCTCTGCAGAGATGGTTAGGTGAACCCAGTGGTGTGCTGGAGCCTGCTCCTAGCAGCTTGCCACAGCTGACTGGGCCTCTTTAACCAACTCCTCCTTCAGGAACTTCAAGTTGGCGCTTTGAAATTGGCCACGGTGGGAGTATTTACACCACAGAAACCAGCAAATGCTACATATCAGAGCTCTCCACCCTCTCCTCCAAGGCTAGATGTTAAACATTCACTAGCATACCTCTAGATTACCCCCCCACCTCCCATACCGATCCTTGCCCTCTAGTACAGTTTTTCTCATAAGGCAGGGTGGAAGCACTACCCACTCTCTGAGCAGTGTGATTCTTAGCTGTGCAGGTCTTGTCCCTTACAATACAGGATATATAGCATTCCCGACTCCATCCTCTGAATGTCATTAGTGTTCTCCAGTCACTGAGACAAGCAAACAACTGCCCCCACCCCACACATTCCAAATATCCCCAGGAGAGTGATAGCACCAGTGGTTGAGGACCAGTGTTCTATAATGATAGAAACATAACTTAAAAGACATCTCCCAGACTCTCAGGAGGCTGAGTGTGGCCATATGACTATGTTTCAGCAAAAGGATGCAAGTGGAAGTGATGGGGATTGTCTTACTGGCTGGAATGTAGCTATGATGGAGCTAAACCTGAGTCCATGATGCAGAAGCTGCATGCTGGGAATAGTAGAGCTAAGACAGAAAGAGTATGAGTCCCCCAAATCATAGAAGTATCATATCAGCATCGAACTGCTTACATTTGCAATGTTTTATGAGAGTTTAAGTCACTGCTATTTTTAGCTTTTACAGCAGCCAGATACCTAGCTAATATGGACCATATTCACAATGTAAAATGTTCCTCTAGTCCAGGACATATTGGGTAAACAATATTTTCTGTTTTGCACACAGAAAGATCTTTTTTTTTTTTTTTTTTTTTTGGGGGTGCGCGGGCCCCTCACTGATGTGACTTCTCCCGCCACGGAGCACAGGCTCCGGACGTGCAGGCCCAGCAGCCATGGCTCACGGGCCCAGCTGCTCCGCAGCATGTGGGATCCTCCCAGACCGGGGCACCAACCCGTGTCCCCTGCATCGGCAGGCGGACTCTCAACCACCGCGCCACCAGGGAAGCCCCAGAAAGATCTTTTAAAAACACTAATGGTATCAAGCTATGTATCACAAACTATATTTTGCTTTTTCATTTATGTATTTTCGACTTCTTCCTTACCTGCACATTCATATCTAACCCACTTCTTATATCCACTACAGAGTAATCCATTTAAAAAAACACATATTGACTTATTTATAAGGTTCCCTACTAAAGATCACTTAGGCTGTTTTAACTTTTTCATACAATGCTGCACCAAACAGCTTTGCTCATATTGTTATGCATCTAATTAAGAATGCATCTGAGGGTATGGAAAATTGCACAGAAATGGAATTATTGGGTCAAAAAATACATGCATTAAAATTGACCTCCAACAAGTTTGCATTATATTCTCCTAAGTGGCATATGTTTCCCCACCCTCTAAACAATACTGGATGGGATGCTATCATAACTTTAGACTGCCATCTGCTAGGTGAAAGGTAAAATCTCATACTGATTTCTATTTCTTTAATGATGAGTGAGCTTGTACATTTTTCATGCTTATTAAATGGTTATTTGTATTTTTGTCTGAGACTTGCTTACTTCTATCCATTGTCAGTTTACATTTTTTGACTGGGTTGTCTTTTTTTTCTTAAATTAATTTATATATATTATTATTTGTAATACATACACTGAGAAATTTGTTCTTCTGTACGAGGTATTATAATCATTTCCTCCAGTTTGTTTGGCTTGGTTTATAGCTTTGCCTATGCAGACATTTTAAATTTTGGTGAGGTCAAATGTCTCCTTTTGCATTAAGCCTTTCCCAGTTCAAGACTATAAAAGACACTCACCTGTGTTTTCCTGTATTGTTTTCATATATATATATTTTTTTTAAATTTTCACTCGAGGCATGTGGGTTCTTAGTTCCCCCACCAGGGATTGAGCCCATGCCCCCTGCAGTGGAAGCACAGTCTTAACCACTGGACGGTCAGGGAAGTCCCTAGCATCATTTAAAAAACAAAATTAAAACAAACAGAAAAAATCTCTAATTCTTTGACCCACCGGAATTTACTCTAGTGAAACTAATTAGGAATACAGCTATACCACCCCACCACCATGTTGCTAGTCCCAAGACAATTTCACAAAATAATCCAGCCCCATTGATTAGATATGCCACCATTACCATGTGCTAAATTCAACTTTCCCCTTAACCCCTCAGGATGGCCTAAAAGCTTGCACCCGACCTCTCCATTATCAGGATGACACCACCATACGATCCTGGCTTTTCTCATCCAAGCAACAGTCAGAGGGGCACACAGCAGCACTGCTTCTTTGACTCTCTGGGCAGGACTCTCCTATCTCTTGTCAGGGATGCAGCTGGTACCAGACCACCCTGCTGGATTCCAGATTTGCCCATGATGGCTAAACTGCAATGCAGGTACCTTTATTTCCTTTATTTAAACAATCTCTTGTTCATTAATTAAAGTAACAAATTTTTGTTACAATTTTTACTTTCTCTAGAGCAGGGTTTCTCAACAGTGGCACTACTGGCATTCTGGTCCAGATAATTTTTTGTCGTGGGGGACTATCTTGTGCACTGTAAAATGTTTAGCAGCATCCCTGGCCTCTACCCATCAGATGCCAGTCGTACCCTCCCTGTTTTCTCTATTTTCTAGGTACAATATTTATATAGGCAAGTTTTTTTCTTTCTTTAGAACAGGTATTTTATTTTTTGCTTTTTCTATTACAAGGGATGTATGTACCAAGTATTAAAAAGTCAATACACACACAACATATTCCACAACTGAGCACCACTCCTTAACTAAACAGGCAAAGAAATGACACTAAAAGACAGCACCTGGTAGTATTTGGGGGAAAATAAAAAGACTAAAACAGGTTTAAATCGACTACTACATCCCATCCAATATTCAATACTACACAATCCAGTGCATCTAAAAGGTAGTTATGCAAAATGTGTTAATGTCAAAGAATACAACCAAAATTAAGATGGCAAACTAAACCTATATAACTTTTTTTAAACAGGAAAATACTTTATATATGCATGTAACTGTCCTTCTTTTAAAGAAAATCTGCAAGCAACGTTATCTACTTCCAGAAAAACCATATATAGAACTACTAAACGTATTCTTAAAAGTATAAACGTGAACATTTAGAAAATCTATAACTTTAAAAACTTATCAATAGATGAACTTCATATTTAAAAGAATGTGAAAAGAAGTCCCATTTTTAGCACAGTTGTATAAATAAGTCTTTTGATGTGAGCTTCATGAATTGTCCTCCTTCTGTGACCAAATATTACAAAAACATAACGTTTTTCAAACTGTATTACAGAACAAGACAAAACATCTTAACAATGTTATCTTATATAAAGAATTACTTTTGTTAACCTTTTAAATTTTACTTTTACTAACCTATCACAACCTGACCCTTAGACGTGTTAGAGTCATTAAAAAAATTCTTTTCTAGAAACAGTACACAAAAAAGAGGCATATTTATTTCCCATCACATTACTGGAAGATGCTTTCCGAGCCTAAGAAGTTTCTTCTCTCCTTTTTACTGTCTATCTTTATTCTTAGCGTGTGTTAAGATATGAGTTTTCAGGTTAGCTGACTGAGCAAAAGTCCTATTACAGCAATCGAAGGGGCACATGAAGGGCCTGTCTCCGGTATGGATTCGCAAATGGGTACGCAAATTGAAATCCAGGGAAAAGCTTTTTCCGCAGCCTTCGAAGGTGCACTGAAAGGGCTTCTCTCCCGTGTGCACCAGTTGATGACGTTTCAGTTTTGAGCTCTCAACAAAAGCTTTGCCACATTCTGCACATGCGTGGACTCTGGGACCATGGGTGTGCAGATGCTTTCTCAAAGCAGACTTATCTCTGAACATCTTCATGCAGCCTTTGTTAGGGCAAGCTATTGATCTCGGGGGCTCTTCTTTGGTTTCCTGGGGCTTCTTTCTAGTAAATTCTGCCACTTGTTTGGGATCTGAGAGGTCAACGCCAGGAATTCCTCCAGGAGGCAGCTTCTTCCCCGTTATGTACTCTGAATAACCAAGAGCTAGTTTCTCACCAGCCTGTCTAGTCTCGTGGCCTCTCTTATTGCACGCGGAGCACATGGTGACGGCGAACATGCCTTCCAGGGTTTTGACGTGCACCTGCTCCTGCTCCCACTTCGTGCTGCCCACCTCGGAGCTGCTTGCCGCCCTGGCCTTGCCGCCGGCATAACTATTATTATCGCTGTGCTTCCTGCTGTGGCTGTAGGCCGAGGGGGACGTGGAGGGTGGTGACAAGGGAGCCAGGGTCTCCTGGAAGCAGTTGTTTTCGTTGGCCAGGATGGCCATATTGTTCTCCAGGTTGCTGACCTGCAGGTCTTCAGACTGGTAGTAGCCCACCACCTCCTTCTGCATCTGTATCATGATCATTTCCTGGTTGTAGTCCCCTTGGCTTGGGGTGCTGATAATGAGAGGCTGCAGCACGAGCAGAGACGTATGGTGGTGGCCATCGTGGACACAGTTGCCGCTGATGTCTTCGTACTCCTTGGCTGCCTCAACCGCCATGGGCTCCACAGGGACGGCCTCCACAGGGACGGCCTCCACAGGGACGGCCTCCACAGGGACGGTCTCCACAGGGATCTGGTGCAGCTCCACAGCATCTGCATACATCTCCGAGTTTTCTGCGACGATGTAGAAAGTGTTGTTTGAGGCCATGGCCGAGGGCTCTTCTGAGGCTTTGGTTACTGGGCAGCGAACGAACGACAAGATGGCCGCGGAAAAGAAAGGCTGTGAGAGAAAAGCCCGAGCTCCAGAGGAAAGAGATGGCGCTTCCGGTGCGGGACGCGGAAAACGCAGAAGACGTGGAAGCTTCCGGACCCGCCTCACACGTTCGCTTTGGGGCACACCCCCCCACCGCACATGCGCTTTACGTCACCCCGCACACGTCACCG